GATATGATTGCATATGAGATGCTCGATAATTCAATCTGCTACTGCCTACCATCCACATCGTGTTTAGCACCAGCTGCTGTTTATTCAGATAACATTGAACCAATTCATGGTATATACACTACACTTCTAAACCGTACATTGGTCAAGGGAATGCAAGCAGATTGCTATTCGCTTAGTGGACTCATGTCATCTACACTAGAATGCTATTATGACGCATCATGTCTTCAGCTAATTGTCTCAAATCCGGTATCCTTTACGCCTCTTAATTCTACTAAGCCAAGTAGATTCAAACGTAGCGATTCTTTAGAATATTTAGTAAACGAAATAGTGTTGGAGGAATTAGTTTTGGACTTTTCAAAGAATCTCTACTTTGAAAATTGCGTGCCTTTAACGTGCACTTATTCATACAAGCATCGCAAAAGACTACTGACTATTGTCACGATCTTTGTTGGCTCCATCGCGGGCTTAAACACGACTCTTGGTTTTATCATCCCATTGCTTGTCAAACTGCTTTTCAGAATGAAACGAAAACTATTTTCTTCAACAATCAGTCACACGTCAGAAAATAAACAAAGTAAGATATGTCTGGCTTGAAGCCTTACAATGATAAAGTCTTCTGTTTAGAACTAAAGTATTGCATCCATTTGAAGGTAATCTCCTCCCACGAATAGGAACGAAAATGCCTATTCGAAGCAAGTTAGATAAATTGGAGAAGAATAAGTCACATGTCTACTTATCTTCGCTCTCATTGTTCCTCTAAACTGATCACATGAAAATAATACCATAGTTTTCATAGTGCTACAGGACTCTTGACCCTTTACATGGCAGTCCTTTCTATTCCACATAGGTCGCTAGACTTCATGATATAAGTTTTATAACACTGACGGAGCTCTCAGGAGATTCATTAATACTTACTAGGTTTAATACTGACTTTAGGATCTGAATTTTGTGCAAATCCAACATAATCCCTTTGACTCCATATAAAAATGTTAAGACTTTTGAAAGTTGTCTTCACATGAATAATGGTTTCAGTCAAATGAACCTCTAATTTTATGTATGACGCATAGCTTTGTCAATCTCAGAGAGGATAATTTGGTTGTGGAAAAAAATCATCTCAATAAATTTGTTCGATTCTGACTCTAATGATTACTGGAAGATTAAACAAGAACGACAAACAACTGGTCTCTACCTGCTCTTACTCATTCCTACGTTTATCGCAATCACGTTTTATGTCAGTTTAAGTAAAACTTTCAATGTTTACACAGTTCCTCTATACACTCAAGATGATTACGAACGTCTATACACACAATATTCTGACACTCTTCGATGTCCCTACACTTATTCACAAATTCAGTATAGCAAATTTTCTTCTGTGAATATCAAGTACCATCAAATATGTTCAAGTGGATTTGTTTCACCTCTTTTTATTGAACAATTCTTGTTAGTACAATACAAGGCCTGGTATCAAGGTGATTTTATGTCATTTAGTGGCATGCACTTTACACATATCTCATTCCTCTGTATGATGTTTAAAGCCCAGGTACAAAGCAGCTACAATCAATTTAAAATTAAATCGTATGCTTCACCAAAGCTAATCAACCAATACTCGTTTGAAGTGCAACTTCAGCAAATTTTGGAATCTCAGAGATCCATGACACAAAGTTTCAGTGATCAATTCTCACAGGCTTTAGATGCAATTGTGATGTACTTTTATCCAATTTCAGCTGCCTATTCACCTTGGACGCTGCGAATCGATGGAAATAGATATGTCAAAATTGAACCCAGTATTTTCCATAATTGTTCATGCATTATACAAGAACAGACATGCTCGACTGAAGTAGGGTTCTATGATTACAATCCAGCTAATGGCTCATTGACATTACTGTATGAAGTGATGGGTATTCGATTGGGTTGCTCCCTGTACCGAACCACGTTACTATCTAGCTTAGCTTGTTGGTACTCGCCAAATTGTTACAATACGGTAAGAAGTAGCATATAAGTGGAGGAAAAATTTTCATAAATAGAGTTGAAAAAAGTTAATTTCTTATATATGCTCTATTACTTTATATAAATTCAACGATGAATTACTTGATGTCAAGATTATGTGCTCTTCCAGGCTAACATATGATTAGCAACAACTTCAGGCAGTCAAAAATAGTTACGGCTTATTCATAATCCCTTATAAAAAGTTTAACAGAAACTTTTCTCTATATAGTGTGATAGTGAAAAAGTTGCTGAACTTTTCTCTACTATCTGATCATACTTCAACCAACAGGAAGTCAATGAATTTTCAATGACACGATTTTCATGAAAACTTGTGCTGATAGTTAAGTTTGTGTAAATTTTCCCAATGCCCAAAATTGGATCCTTCAAAACTTTCTCCATTTAGAAAACAAAAGTGCAGCCATAAAATAATTAGCCTCGTGTGCGTTAGCGAGCTTTTCACACTGCATTTTATTTTATACTTTGTTTGTTGACACAATGTATCAAAGGTTTAGAAGCTAATCTCTCAGACATTGTGAGCTAGTGTTACTAGCACAAATGAATATGAAAAGTGTCTTATCGAAAATCTATTACAGTCATATTAATTGAGACATGATCGAATTGAAAAATCTTTAAGTTCTAGGACGCTTCTGGCTCGAAATCGTCTAAAAAAGGGTTATTTAGAAATATGCATAAAACTCTGTTGATAGTTGAACATAACAAGGACTACTACGACAAGATATAGATTTTCAAGCATTTATGTCGGATCAAACTACAAGACAGTTTTTCAACATAGGTCATACAGACCAAATTTTTCTATACATATCGCTAAATGCAATGTCGTGGCGATTATTTAGAATACGTTCTATTTAAGCGAAACACCTAAGTATCGAAGTATTTTTCCATCATGTTAACAAACTATTCAAGATACAGATGCATCTACTAAAAAGAGTAAACTACGGCTGAATAAGCATTGTTATTCTTATTCAAAGTGAATTTCTGTTTGCTACGGCAATGATGAATAAATAATACAATTAAATGTAATTCAAGATAGAAAAGATAAGTGTCGTTTTACCGATGTAAAATTTTCAAACATACATTGATAATGTTCGATAAATAGGGATTGAGATACTAGAACATCTAGTTGAAAAAAAAAGACTTTCATATTGTAGTATTTTGGAAAATATTAAAGAAGAATCTGAAGTTCTCATATTCAGCGAAATCGTAATGGAGAAAGATTGTTGAAAGTTCAAAAAGTTTGTATATCAGAGTTTAATAAAAGTTTATTTGAGCAATAAAGAGAAATATCAACTGATCTTCAATAATTTTAATCTTTAAAGATATCGAATAATAGAGAAAATATATGCCTCTATCGAATTAAACTGAAAAACTATTTAAAGAACAGATTGTACTTATTTCATCATTTTAATCACTTCTAGGTAGTTCAATTCTGGCGCAAAAGAATAAATGATTTTCAGTTTATCCCATCCATCTTAGACCAAAACCTTGACACTAGTGTCAACATCTCTGTCCCAATACAAGCTCTCATCAAGAATGGAATGGTCGATCATATATCGATGACATTATTCTATGACAAATTCTTTTCGGAATGTGCTGCAACTTATTGTACTTACATCGTATATGGACGACAGAATCTTGTCATTACAATCACCACTTTGATTAGCATCTTCAGTGGTATATCTGTCGCCTTGAAATTAATTACACCTATAATAATCAACATTGCTTATTTCTATATGGGAGATGTGATAGGTATGTACAACATAAAATCTTGTATTGTTAATAGTCAGCAAAATTAACTATAAAGGTATTTGAATTTGTTGAAGTATGTATTTTGTTCAATGATGTTTTAAACTTATTCTCTTGAAAGTTCACAATAAACGCTTAATAACGATAATACAGTGAAAAAAAAAGTAAACAACAAAAAACAAACAAAACTTAAATATATGCTTATTTAAGTGAGAAATAAAAAAACCGCGTTGGGTTATGTAGTACTGATAAAAAGTCATGCCTATCTCACTCTTAAGTGAGAGCAATCGGTTTTAGGAATTAGCAAGCAGCTCGGTTAGTTACACCTAAATAAAATCGATGTTACTCCGAAAAAGTCCAACTCTTAACAAATGAAGAGAGATGAATGTTTTGAGATTAGGAGGCTCACCTATTGGTTTTGTCCTCTAACAAGTAGTTTTTGAAAACTACAAGACTATCTATTTTTAATTGAGTTAAATGGTTAAAATCTAAAGTATATCTACTTATTTTATATAGATCGACCTGGCATATGTTATCTGTTATACGGTTTACGCAACAAATTGATTAATCTTAATTGCTTCTTCAATCGACACAAATCATCTCACTTGACTCTTAAAGCCGAGTTGTGTACTACACGACTTTATCGTGTTCTCTGGATCTTTGTATATGGAATTCTTCTCTTTTATAATTTTATAGCTCACGACATTATTATGATCACAGTTAAACAACCAACACAACCAATGTACGAGCAACTCGCTCTTTCTTTTAATTCCTCACTTAAGTGTCCTTGCACGGACACATCCTTTAAATATGAGACATTCGTCACAGTAAACATACGAATACATGAAATTTGCTACGGTCAATTTATAGAGATGCCATGGATACAGAACATTTTCAGCGATGGTAACTGGTCAGATTTAGCAACAAATCAATTTCGTGGCCGCAGTGCTATCTACTTTTTGATTCTACAGTCTATTTGTAATATAGTTCAAAGTACAATCAATCGTGTCGTCAAAAAGTTTCTTGCTGTGGAAGTATTTAAAGGTAAGATGATCTCTCGAGATCATCTTCATTTGCTGATTGAAGATGAAATTTCTTACAAAGAACGTACGAGCACAATGTTTGTCATCCTGGCGATGCTTGCTGCACGTGAAGAAGTACAAATCAATCAGATTATGAATATTTTTTCTTTTAATTGGTATTTTTCACCAAATAAAAACGAAATCATTCCTTCCCATCGCATTCCAACTATGCCGGTTTCACATGATCCCAACTGTTCCTGTGCTGTATCATCAGCATGCACTGAATCTGTTTTCGTTGGTGAACAAATGGTATCTGGTTTCGTCCTCGGCTGCTATCCTTTAGAATCACTCCTTCGATCTAGTCTCCTTTGTCTTTACAATGAAACGTGCCTTCAGTTAATAAATATTGGGAATTTATCATCTATCCATCCCTTAGATGCTTCATTACCTAGTCGTTATATGTTGAATACTACAGTTGAAGAAATAGTTATGAATTCACTTATAGAAGAGTGGGCACATAATATGTCTTATTCAAATTTCTTCTCACAATGTAAGCCTTTATCATGCACTTATTTGGTGTCCCAGAGAAAAACTGTTTTACAGATAATTACAATCGTATTGGGTCTTTATGGAGGATTAGCATTGATTCTTCGCTTCATTGTTCGTCACTCAATTAGTGATTTTACTCACGTGTCAACGTTGATTCGACAAAAAAACCAAATTATTCCTTCAATTGTTTGACTGTATTCCTCTTTATGTTAGTGCTTTCTTCAACTATGCTTCGATTTTTCGAATTTTTTGCTTGTCACAACAGATTTCGCAAAATCTTGCTTACTAAAGAATTTTGTATTTGTGCGCTTCATACTTATACTATAAAAATGCCTCGATTTTAAAGCCATTCAATCAGAAATCGAACGAGAATGACGACAAATCAATCATAGAAACGATTCTTCGGGGTATACGTTTGATACTACAAAGATAATTTCTGTCATTCAAGATCTATACAAATAAGCCCAAGACTTTAGAGTTTGTAAGCCTGGGTCATTTTTCGTGTCATATTTTTTTAGCATTAAACTGGATATTAACAATAGTAATAATACATTTTTTCTCTGAGATTGTCCAGTCTTCATTTTCATAAAGCTAAGTTTGTATTATTGCACCTTGACGGTTTTTAACAATATTTACTAATATACTTCACTCAAAATAGACATCTATTAATTGCATCTAACCAATGAGGCATCTGTGCTGCAGCCAATCGAAATCGACTGGTTGTGGGTGTAAAAAAAGAATACACGCACTCATATCCACACTGACACCTACATCTCTTCTCTCATTAAGATGACCAAATACCATCTTAGTGCTATGTGGTGTGGGTGTGGGTGTGGGTGCAGGTCTTCTTTTCATCCACTCACATACTCACACTAACACCCCACAGCCACACGCACACACACACTCAGACCCAGATGCTTGTCCATGCAAATAAAAACTTTACGCTGACACCTATGCTCTGAAAATATTTAGTTGATTAAGTTTGATTAATAATGAAATTAAACGAATTTAATTTCCCGACGGACTTCTGGGACACGCTGTATAGAAAAAGTCAAATGAAAATATTTGTGAAAAAGTGAATCTGAACTTTAAAATGCCAATTCACTTAATAGGATATCATTGATTAATCTGTAAAAATCATTTGCTGAATCGAAGCTTTATGATTGATTCCTGCGGCCGATCAATGTAATACGGTAGGAAACGAATAACGTATCACATGATTTATTCGTCTTATGTTATTGTCAATTTGAAACCAAAGTTTTTCACCTAGCTAGTAAATCCCCTAACGAAATCGATTTTTATTCTATTATGATTTTTTGTGTTTTTCTATTTGCCCAAACACATGAAAAAATTTTTACCTTTGAAGGAAAAAAAAATGAAAAAATTCAGTTCGAATGATTTTCATATATAAGGTGAATAAAAGACAGTGAGTTTTGTCTCTTTTTTAATAATATTTTTTATTGGAGAAAATAACATGAAAGCAAATTTTTTGCGTACTCATTCTGTTAGAGAGAAGATTAAAAATAAACATGAACAACCGTGCGAATAAAAGTTATTAAAAAAAAAGAAGTCAATATAAGAAGCATCTTAGCAACCCACATATTTGAAGAAATACCCAGAGGCTTTGATTGGCTTTACTTTCCTAGCTTAATGTACGTTGTTTCATCTTTCCAAAATAATGTTAAGCAACGAAACGAAAAGAAATATCACTTCAATCAGATTCATATACAAAAAACTCTCATTCTCACAAATGCATTGTGTCACATAAGATAATCAATAAATGTTGCACTATAGTTTTCTTTTTTTTCTGAAAAGCATTCTCCATCAATTATTAATACTTATGGATTGACAAAATAATTGATAACAGAGCTTTTACTCCAATCATAAAAATATCTCAATATTTAATATTATTATTCCATAAGCAAAAACTACATTAACAGTTTGAACTGCTAATTTATCCAAAGTTCTCTTTCAAAAATTGACTTCAACAGATTTTTTTTCGATATTCTTGTAGAATACTAAAGTCAAGCTGTTTTCATTCTGTATTGTCACTGTTGACAACCAAAACATCCATCTCTCCTGAATGAACAACATTAAAATCAAATTTTTCTTCTGTCACCATTTGATTTAATTAATTCGATCTTCCTCTTCTTTCTTCCTAACAAAAAAAAACACTACAAGGATATCTTCAATTATTCTCAAAGTTATTTGTGTATGTCTCGATCCTTCAGCGTTATTCTTCATTGTGCTTACCCATGGATGCGAAGAAACATTGCAAAATGATGATGTTTTTCGCCTAGGATACCTATATTTTTCAGGAATGAAACAAAAAGGAAAAAACTACAACTTCTTGAAACAGATTAAAAAAAGCTTGCAATAATCCGTATTCTTTTTGCCTTTGTTTTCGGCTGGCTGTGGGCAGGATTTTCATTTCATGCTTATGCAACCATACCCTTCGGCGGAGTGCTGGTCCCTCTCCGTCAAAGATTGAAAGCTTTTGTGAAAACTTTTTCCAGTCTTTGCCACAGCCTGGGATGCGGCGGGTATCAAGGAAATGATCAATATCGACACTCGCTCCCACACCCACACACTCACCCACACCCACACACTCACCCGCACCCACACACTCACCCACACCTACACCCACACCCACACCCACACCCCACATCCACACCCCACATCCACATCCACACACCCCACCCACACCCACACCCACACACCCTCACACCCACACCCCACACCCACCCACACCCTCAACAAAAACTTGGTAAATAAAAACTTTCATATCACAAAACAGATCTCTAAATTGATGGTCCGCTCTATAGAACCCATCGAATTGGTTCAAGCTATGTACTAGTCACCGAATACAAAACGCGGGGGAAAAAAGTATTTCGTATGTTTTGGATGAGTCCAATGGGTTTTACTGCCCGTTCCGAATGACACTATTAAAAGTATATATATTTTTAGAAAAAAAAACAAGATTTCTACATGATAGAATTCCACAATCATTTAAAAAATTTATTATCATAGTGATCACGAATTGAATAAGGTCGGAGAATTTTAATGCTCGAAAAAAAACAGAATGAGAGCTTATTGAATAGAAAACATAAGATGCGTTCGTATGATAGTAAGAAATTTTTACGTAAGTAAAGTTAGCACCAGATTCGAGTTTTTACTTCCGGATTCGCCCCTGGACTTGAGTTGATTTTGGTTCAACTTGAATTATATGCAGAATTTTACGGCGAATCTGATAGTGTAAAGATCAAGGAGGATCATCGAGCAAAAATTAACACGTGACCCCAAAATACTAGTTTTTTCAAAAATTTTCTGAAAGTTTCTCCTGTTCGAATTTGCTATGTTGCTTGAGTTGGGTCTAAAATTGGTTGAGTTAGACTCAGCTCGAAATTCTGCTTCGAATGATATCAATTTTATATGGGGTTATCGGGCAAAAAATTTTTCGACTGGATGAGGGTGAGGATGACCTCTGAGGGGTGGGATTGACTGAAGTGAAAGTTTTTTCGCCGATGACCTCATATAAAATTGATATCATTCGATGCAGAATTTCGAGCTGAGTCTAACTCAATTAATTTTAGACCCAACTCAAGCAACATAGCGAATCCCGACAGAAGAAACCTTCAGAAAATTTTTGAAAAAACTAGTATTTTGGGGTCAAGTGTTAATTTTTGCTTGATGATCCTCCTTGATCTTTACACTATCAGATTCGCCGTAAAATTCTGCATATAACTCAAGTTGAACCAAAATCAACTCAAGTCCAGGGGCGAATCCGGACAGTAAAAACTCGAATCTGATGCTAACTTTACTTACGTGAAATTTTTTTCAGTTAAGCAAATTTTGTTAGCCACAGATGATGACTTAATTAATTTCTAATATCCTTCAGCTTACAAAGACAACTAAAACCTGTAATTCTGCTCTTCGATCATATAGATACTATTGATGATCGATCAATTCTATTTAAATCATTTGCTTGCTTGGATGGCTTTTCATATTCATGAGACCACAGATTAGACTATGGATCTTATTAAAATCTATCTATAGTAATATACTTCTGAACATAATTTCTTTTGAAAGGCTAAGATTAAGCATGAAAAATTCTAGAATAAATATAAAAATCGATTAAACCTTCAAAATAATCAACAAAAGATTTATTCTGAATGAAAACCGACAATAATTTTCTTTAAAGCAAATTTACGAAAAACATAAAATCTATCTTTGTTTTTATTTTCTAGGTGAAGGACAAAAAATCACCACCACGTTCACTCGACGAAGTAAAACAAATTAAAAATGAAATACAAAATCAATTTGATCTTCTTGATAAAGAATTACAACGTAAACATAAAGAACTTCGTTCACAACAAGATTTAATACAAGAATTACGTGAATCATTAACTGAACTTAAAATGAAAAATTAAAATTAAGTTCTGATATACAAAAAAAAGAACGTCTTGATGAACAATTACAAAAATTAACAAATTATATTCAAACACTTAAAGATGAAATTGAAACAGATAAAATATCATTAGAACCAATTAATGTAAACTTTTATTCAAAAAAACAAAAAAAGAAATTATTCATCTTTAGAATATTATTTTATTTAGACTGATATTGATATAAGAACAAAAGAAAAAAATCGTTTAAAAACAGAAAAAGAAAAAATTTTATCCGAACTTACAGAATCTGTTTGTATTACTTAGGGCATACCAAAAGTAGTGGCAGTGACACTTTATTCCCTTATAGTGCGCTCAAAGAAACTTTCTTTATATATAGTTTGATAGAGAAAAAAAAGCTCTATCTTTCTATGCTATTTGACCGTACTTCCACTAATATAATAATATTAAATTATCTATAAAACCTATTTCTGCTGGTTGTGCGCTGGTTGTAAGTTTTGCGTTGTAGTTTTCAATTCCTTATTGGTTTTATTAACAATCAAAATATACCGTAAGATTCAGCATGAAAAGCTCTACAATTTACATACGGTCACTTATTTTATAGCTGCACTTTTTGTTTTCAAAATGGACAAAATTTTGAGGAATCAAATTGCAACTATGCGAAAAAGATCATGTTTTCAATACACGACGAATTCATTTTTATTATTTCATTGTTTCATCACCTGATATGCTTTATCAAAAGAAAAAGAAAATATACCACAAGATGCAGCGTGAAAAGCCCTACAATCTACATAGTTAAGCTTAGTGTAATTGTTTTCAGGAAAAGAAAAATTTTATGCAGCCAATTTTCGCAATGCCCAAAATTTGATACCTCAAAGCTTTATCAATTTTGAAAACAAAAAAAGTACAGCTATAGAATAAGTAGCCGTATGTAAATTATAGAGCTTTTCATGCTGCATCTTACGGTACATTTTGGTTGTTCATACAATTGTATTAAAGGATTGAAAACTAACCTGTCTTACACGTTGTGATCTAATACAACCAGTACACAACCAGCCGAAGTAGGTTTTATAGATAATTTAATATTATTATATTAGTTGAAGTATGATCAAATAGCATAGAAAGATAGAGCTTTTTTTCTCTATCAAACTATATATAAAGAAAGTTTCTTTGAGCGCACTATAAGGGAATAAAGTGTCACTGCCACTACTTTTGGTATGCCCTAAGTATTTTTTTTATTATTTTAAAATTTTGCTTTTTTATCTATAGATCAATATTCTAGAACAAAAACTAAACGAATTAAAAACATTAACAACAACAATTAATAAGTATGTTAACAAAAATTTTCGACAATTGAAGGGCTGTTACACCCACTCTGGTCGAGCCACCCTTGTTTATACCTTATCCATTCCTCCTGTGGACAGTTGAGAAAAAAAGCATAGAATACACAAATGAGATTCGAATAGAAATTTTAATCTATATAATAAAATCTATAATTTAATATTTAGTTTTGAAGATCGTACATCTAAATTATTAGAAGAACTTCGTTCTTCATTTGATCAATTAAATATTCAAGAAAAACAATTACAATCTGAATTATCAACATGTATAACAACTATATCTCATTATAAAGATGATTTAGCACGAGCTGATATTCGTTATCGACAATGAAATGATAATCAAAAATTACTTCAAAGTCAAATTGAACTTGAACAAAAACAAAATGATCTTATTGAACTTGAAGAAAAACTCATGGACTTAAGTAAATTAATTTTCATTTTTTTTCTAATTAATTATATTTTTCTGTATAATAGATTAGGTTCACTTATACGTGAAGAAAAACAATTACGTTTAACACAAGAAATATTATTTAAAGAAATTGAATTAGAACAAGAACTTGAACAAGAACATTTAAAAAATGCACATGAACGTTACCTTAAACATTTTATACAACAAACAATTGAAGAAATCGCATCACAAGATCTTGAACGTTTTTATAAAATTTTAGATCAAACAATGATGACATATCATACACAAAAAATGAAACAATTAAATAAAATTATACGTGATCTTTGCAGAACAACATATCGTGGTACAGATATTGAGCGATTGAAATACGTTCAGATGCTGATGATGAAAATGCAACAAAAACACGTCGAACATAAAATTATCGTGTTGTTATGATTAAATCTGGTTCAATTATGGATATGAGAAATCGTTGTAGTGCTGGTCAAAAATTTCGTGCTTCACTTATTATACGACTTGCATTAGCTGAAGCATTTTGTCTTAATTGTGGTATACTTGCTTTAGATGAACCAACAGCTAATCTTGATTTTGAAAATATTGATGGATTAGCTCAAGGATTAATTGAGTAAGTATATTTCTTTCTACTGGAATGAATCTTCTCAAATATCAACATGATATGTTATCATAAATTACTCTATCAGAATTATAATATCAAATTTCTATAATTTGATCTGTACAATGGAGAATAATATAATATCATCATAGTTTGATTTCTAGCTCGATTCTATCAGCTTAGTGTTGTTTTTCTAAGAATAAATTGTAGAAGAAAAATAAAACTTTTGTTTATTTTAGAATTGTTAAAAGTCGTGCAAGTTTAAAAAAATTTCAATTAATTATAATAATACATGATGAAGATTTTGTTGATTCACTTGGTAAATCTGCATATGCAGAAAAATGTTATCGTGTATCAAAAACACATAAGTATATTTTTAAATTATTCATTAAATATTTGAATTATTTCTTTTATTTTTAAATAGTGGTCTATCAAAAATTGATGTTTGTAATATCACATCATTTGGTGCTCATTAATCAGATTTTTTTTTGATGGTATAAATGTACATTTTAAAATCTAGTCGAATTTATTCTTTTGTTGATGTTATATTTTTATAAACAGAAAAAAGAAACAAAACAAACAAGAAATGTTTTCTTGTTTTTTTTTTAATATATGTATTGTGATATACTTTTATGAAAGAAAAAGATGAACTAATAAAAATAAAAGTTTTTATAAACTATAAGAATTTATGATTATAATAGGATACTTGATCTTTATATAAATGATATTTTGACAAGTAATAAGAAAAACTGTCGTCTAGCATCCTCTATTGTTTATTAAAATAAATCAAAATTAAGATTTGATTAAAAATTCTTTTCTATGATTTATCATTATTAAAAATAAATTTATACTTATTTTATATTTCGTTGAAGTTTATTTAATAATAATTGGATAGAATGATATGCTTATCATTTAATATTACAACAGTTTTTCCTTGTCTGATGACAAGACGCGTGTCTCCACGTGAATACATGCAAGTGCATATTAGATCTTAGGTTGAATGACAATGATGATTCATTTATGAATCTGTGTTGCGATTATTATTATACTTGTATTCTCAATCTAGATTTTCAAATATTCAATTAGTATGGCCAAACAGGCATCAAGCGGAAAACTAATTATTGATTATCCATGGACAAAAACAAAAGAAGAAATTGCTGCTCTCTATCGTGTTGACGAAGGTATTGGTCTTTCTGAAGATCGTATCCGATAAAGTTTTGAACGATATGGACCTAATGGTAATTGAAATATATATATATATTTATCATATATTTCATTTATATTTTTGCTATATAGAATTACCAGCTGAAGAAAGTAAACCATTATGGAAACTTATTTTAGAACAATTCGATGATCTTTTAGTCAAAATTTTACTTGCTGCTGCTTGTATATCATTCGTAAGTTTATTTTTATCAAATCATATTTATAATTATTCTTTTTTTCAAATTTAGGTTTTAGCTTTATTTGAAGAACATAAAGAAGAAGATAGTCTTGTAGCAACTTTTGTCGAACCACTTGTTATTATTCTTATTCTTATTGCAAATGCAGCTGTCAGTGTATGGCAGGTAAATATTCAATTTTATTTTATTTTATTTTTTATATATAATTCGAAATAAATTAGGAACGAAATGCTGAAAGTGCTATTGAAGCATTAAAAGAATATGAACCTGAAATAGCTCAAGTTATTCGACAAAGTCGATCAGGACATATACAACAAATTAAAGCACGAGATCTTGTACCAGGTGATATTGTTGAAGTAGCTGTTGGAGATAAAGTTCCAGCTGATATACGTATAACAACAATTTATTCAACAACACTTCGTGTTGATCAATCATTATTAACTGGTGAAAGTGTTTCAGTTATTAACCATACAGATCCAATACTTGATCTACGTGCTGTTAATCAAGATAAAAAAAATATTCTTTTTTCTGTATGATAAGAAATTTGTAAATATATAAATAATCTGTAAAAAATTAATTCTAGGGAACAAATATTGCAGCTGGTAAATGTCGACGTATTGTTATTGGAACTGGTTTAAATACTGAAATTGGTAAGAAAGAATATTAATAAAGTCTCATTGTCATATATGAATTATTTTCCTATTGCATTTCTAGAGGATTAAATAAAATAATGATGAAGAAATATTTCCCAAAATAGATAGTAGAATAAAACAATTTTCTTATGATTAGCATGAGCAACTATATCGTCTTTTTTATGTTAATCCTTCAGGGATTATGCTAACAGGTTTTTTTTATGGACGATTATTAAGAAGATAGATTAATAAAATATTTGTCGTAATGTGGAGATCGTGGGTGGTAGAACTGTACTCTACGTACGATCTTGGAGGTTATCTATGTCTGTGATTATGTCAAAATTTTCAGAATGTATTCATTCATAAATTTCTTAGAATAGTGTATTCCAATTGTTTGTTTGTTTAGGAAAAATTCGATCGGTTATGACCGAAACTGAAGAAGAAAAAACACCATTACAACAAAAATTAGATGAATTTGGTGAACAATTATCAAAGGTATATATTATTTATCAGCAAACAGTCATAAAAAATTTTCTTTTAAGGTTATTTCTGTTATTTGTATTGCTGTATGGTCTATTAATATTGGTCATTTTAATGATCCTGTACATGGTGGTTCATGGTTACGTGGTGCAATTTATTATTTTAAAATTGCTGTTGCACTTGGTTTGATTATTTTATTGTTTTTTGAATTTTTTTATTAATGATTTTGTTTTTTTTTTAGCTGTAGCTGCCATTCCTGAAGGTTTACCAGCTGTTATAACAACTTGTCTTGCATTAGGAACACGTCGAATGGCTAAAAAAAAATGCAATTGTACGTTCATTACCATCAGTTGGAACACTTGGTTGTACATCAATTATTTGTTCGGATAAAACAGGAACATTAACAACTAATCAAATGTCTGTTTGTCGAGTAAGTTTTTCAATAGAAACAATTTTATATTTTTTTTGAAATTAATTTTATTTTATATTAGATATTTATATTCAGTAAAGCTGATGGTAATGATAGACAAATTGATCAATTTGAAGTAACTGGATCAACTTATGAACCGAAACGTGATATTATGTATAATGGAACAAAATTTAATTGTTCTGATCGTAGTGGATTAGTTGAATTAGCTGAATGTGCTGCTTTATGTAATGATTCAGCATTAGATTATAATGAAGTTAGTTTTTTTTTCACTTTTGTTTTTCTTCATTTGTTTAATCTTTCTTTTAATTTCAATAGTCAAAAAAAGTTTTTGAAAAAGTTGGTGAAGAAACAGCATTAACTGTTCTTGTTGAAAAGACGAATGTTTTTAATACAGATAAAACACGTTTATCACCACAAGAAATGGCTATGTCATCAAATACAATTATTCGTCAAAAATATCGAAAAGAATTTACATTAGAATTTTTACGTGATCGTAAATCAATGTCAACATATGTTGTTACTGCTAGTAGAAGTGCTAATAATACTCAACAAACAGCTAAAATGTTTGTTAAAGGTGCACCAGAATCTGTTATTGAACGATGTTCACATATTCGAGTTGGAACACAAAAAATTCCAATGACTACACAAATTAAACAAGAAATAATGAAATTAGTTCATCAATATGGAACAGGACGAGATACATTACGTTGTTTAGCATTAGGAACTATTGATAATCCATTAAAAAGAGAAGATATGGATTTAGAAGATTCAAATAAATTTATTACATATGAAGTAAGATTATATATTTTAGAATTAAAAAAGAACAAATCATTTATTGATATATATATACATAGAATAATATAACATTTGTTGGTGTTGTTGGTATGCTTGATCCGCCACGTTCAGAAGTTATTGATGCTGTTGCACGATGTCGTGATGTTGGTATTCGTGTTATTATGATAACTGGTGATAATAAGAATACAGCTGAAGCTATTTGTCAACGTATTGGTATCTTTCAAGAATTAGAAGATATACAAGGTAAGATAATTTTTGTTTTGCATCATATAAATGATTGTCAATTTTTACTTTTTGTAGGCAAAGCTTTAAGTGGTCGAGAATTTGATGATCTTTCAATAGCAAAACAATCTGAAGCTTGTCGTCATGCAAAAATGTTTGCTCGTGTTGATCCAACACATAAATCAAAAATTGTTGAATATTTACAATCACATGGTGAAATAACAGCTATGACAGGTGATGGTGTTAATGATGCACCTGCATTAAAAAAAGCTGAAATTGGCATTGCTATGGGTTCTGGTACAGCTGTTGCTAAAACAGCTGCTGATATGGTTTTAGCTGATGATAATTTTTCTTCAATTGTTGCTGGTGTTGAAGAAGGTCGAGCTATTTATAATAATATGAAACAATTTATTCGTTATTTAATTTCATCAAATATTGGAGAAGTAATTTTAATGAATTTAGGAGACAAAAAAAATAATAAAAATAACTTTAATGATTTAGGTTGTTTGTATGTTTTTGACTGCTGCTCTTGGTTTACCAGAATCATTGATTCCTGTTCAATTACTTTGGGTTAATTTAGTAACTGATGGTTTACCAGCAACAGCACTTGGTTTTAATCCACCTGATTTAGATATAATGGAACGTCCACCACGTAATCCGAAAGAACCGTTAATTACACCATGGCTTTTCTTTCGATATATGGCTATTGGAAGTAAATTAAATTTTTCGAAAAAATTTGAATTTTTTTTTTCTATGCTATTGTTATTTTTGAATAGGTTATGTTGGTTTTGCTGTAGTATGGAGTGCAACATAGTGATCAATGCATGCATCTAATGATCCAAAACTTTCCTATTGGCATTTGGTATGTATTTATTTTTAGTATAATTTTATAAAGTATATTGAACTTTATCAGAAGGATTTTTATAATCGAATAAGTAGAATTGGTAAGATAGACAATAAGCTAATAAGCATGAAAAAGTATTTTTTTTAATAATAACATTAGAATAGAGGAATATTATTTACTAACTAATAATAAATAAAGTCAAGACAAAAGCAGTATTTTTGTGACTTTTTTTTTATTAATGAAAGTAGCGAGAACAAATTAGAGAAAAGATTTGTTCATCTGAAAGAATTTTCTATCAGAAGAGATACTTCTTCAAATATTCAGCTTTTTAGGCTTTTATGGCACAATGACTAGTGTTCGTTGAATGAATTCATCTAATAGGAAACTATTTCAATTAATCAAAACTTTTCTTCGGCTTGTTCTATCTGTAAAAAAAAAGTTAAAAATACATTGTTTCTAAACCTTTTGCTTTCGGCTTAGTTTTAAAAACGCATATAATCTATGCTTTTTTAAAAAGCATGTGTTTTAATAATTGTCCGATTTTTGATGTAAATATTTGAAATCTATATTTTTCTTTTTTATGTAGCAAAATCATTTTACATGTCGTTCTGGTGGTAAAGAATGGGAAAATATAAATTGTTCTATATTCGATGATCCACATCCAATGACAATGGCTCTATCAGCACTTGTTAGTATTGAAATGTGTAATGCACTTAATAGGTTATTATTGAAATGAATATCTTTAGAGAAAAAAAAAAGAAAATTATTTTATTTTAGTTTATCTGAAAATCAATCTCTTCTTAAAATGCCACCATGGAAAAATAAATATCTTTTATATGCTATTGGGGTGTGGGTGTGGGTGTGGGCGTCATTTAGAAGACCTTACACCCACACCCACCCACACCTACCCACACCCTTTTCATATGGTTGTGGGATTTTTCGTCACTACTGTATGCATATATTAGAAAATAAATCAATTGCAATGAAGACAACATCATCAACAGATTCTCACGAACCGAATTTGATAACTATGATTATCGTTAGCTTTTCAAATTTTTTATAATTATAGAAATACCTTTAAAAAAAGAGTTATTATATATTCTGACAATGAATTATATTTTCGATCATTCCAAAGTTCTGAAACAAAAAAAGAAAGAGATACCGAAAAAATCCAGTTTTACAGTTTGCCAAGGAGGATGCCTGTATGATACTCAAGTTATTCTTCAACAACACATAAGTGTAAGATGAGACAAAATATAGAAGATGATAGAGAATTTGAAGTTTTACCTGAATCTATAATAACTTTTTCAAAAATTTATTTTCATAGTACCTATAATTTGAAAAAGCATAAAAAAAACAGCAAATTTTTATACTTATCAATTCAGGATGTCTTCATTGTACTCAATTTATTTTTGCAATAGATAAATGCAAGACAGTAGACAAATATATCGGACGGTAGAGTTTTTCAGGCGTTATCAGAATATATAATCTTTTTTTTTAAATGGTATTTCTATAGTTATAGAAAATTTGAAAAACTAACGATAATCATAGTAACCAAATTCGGTCCATGGGAATCTGTTGATCGTGTTGTCTTCATTTCAGTTGATTTATTTTCGAATATATAAGTGCAAAATAAAATATAAATGTACAGAAGAATAGAAAACTCCGATTGACGTCAGAATATGTTATTATTCTTTTAAAAATATGTTTTTATAGTGATCATGTACTCGAAATACCGACGTCAATTTTTTTTTCAAGAATATATATGGGTGATTCCATGATGACCCTACCACGATTTACAAAAGTATCTCCGAATCCGTTCAAACTTTCAGGGTTTGTAGAGATTTGAATGCTGATCATTTTGATAATAAAATAGTTGGCACTTCATAATGAAATGAGGGAGAACGAGTCAAAATACTGAACACGTCATTTTGATTCGAAAAAATTCACCTTTCGATGAATTTGGCCATTTCTTGTTTTCATGTTATCATTTTGAATTTTTGAGCACGGATTCGTGTAGCCCGAGTGAAGACGCATCAGAATATGTGTAATTAATATTTTTTTATATCTCACTATATGGAACTCCACGTGACAGACAATTTTTAGCTGAAAACAAATTTTGAAATATTTCGCATACTAAATGGAATTCCTGCAAATGGTGGCACATATGGTTGGATAGAGAAAACTTTGCTCTATCGAATGGTATACTTTTCTTTCTATGGGAGAAGCATCCTGGTTATAAAAATGAGTCAAATGTTAAAAAAACATGAATTTTGACAGTATTTTGACATTTACTCCCCCGTTTCGAAGCCAAAATCCAAATCGGAGGCCGGATTCATGATCAGCGTAAAAAACTACATCCGAATATGTATATTGAATAGTTTTGATGTCCCTCGCCTCACATCATTCTGGCCCTAAAGTTGCTTGATTTTCAATCAAATACCTCCTTTCCGACTTCTGAGTTGTTTTCTTTAAATATCCGAGTAAGATGTGCATTTCAACTCGTGATGAGTGACAAAGTGCGTTATTTGGATATCGAAATAGAGCCACTTCAGTGCTCGTAGGTTCTTATTTCGAGATACCATCGACTCTTGAGATCAATATTAGCACTTTTCTTCATATGATGCTGGAGAAAATAGATAATTACAACAATTTGTCAAGTTGATGTGGAACGCGTCAAAAATGAGAGATGTGATGATGAGTGAGTACTGTCGTCATTCGAGTTTAATATAGGGAAGATTGATTTGTACGATTCATTTGCCTGTCTATTGAGAAGTTCGAATGCGAGTTTTGATTGATGGATCTTGCTACTGCTCATGCTGTCACATTTCCATCGTATGATAGTGATTCTATCTTTCTGAGCTCATTGACGTGTAGTTCCCTACAAGATATAGTTTGCTATGTTTTATATTTTTCTTCCTCCACTAGGGCATATATGATATATATATTCTTTTTCTTTCTCGGATTCATCTGAATATTTTCTTTGTCTTATTCTCTCATTATATGTATGCTATTTGATTCAGCTCGATTCGGTCCCTCCAATGCATCGTTGCACGTAGGCAACACTCCTCTTTCGTGCGTTCTCTCCATATTATTTTTTTCTCAGCGTGAGATGAAAGAAAAATAAACATAGAAACAGAAAGACATTGATTACAACGAACACATAGATATGCCAGTCCAATGGTGCACCCATCCAACGTCTCATCATGACTGTACCAAAATTGGTCACAAGCCGACGCATCCACGAGGTGATCGGAAAGTTGATGGTGAGCTAGCGGCCTTCATTTCAGAATCATATCGGGTTTCAACAGGTGATGAAGGAATACTGATACAAGCAGGAGATTTGTTCTGTCGAACATGTTATGATAAGGAGCGTTCGAAGTTCGATTCTCATTTAATTTTGCAAAGAAGCACCGACGAAGGAAACGAGAGTATGGATACTGACGATCAGAGACCGAGACGACAACGCAAAACAATCTCGAATATGGAGTTTCGATCAAATCTCGACTTTTCATTAGAAGAGAAGGCAGAGTCATCATGTTCGCAGTCATCATCGGAAAGTGAAACTATCGATGATGAGAAGAGATACAACCAAGAAAAAACGACACATCTTTTGAATCAAGTATTTTCCGTGCTCAATATTTCTCAAATTTCAGATATGTAAGTTATACTTTTCAAGTCATTTTTCAAAATAATTCCTTTATAGACGCAACACTGGTATCTTGCAACAGAAGGTGTCAAGAGCCGTCGAGATGATACGACTAGCGGCAGATGATATTCTGAAAGTGTCAGAAAGTACAGTCTCAAAATCGAAAACAATACCGCTCACTGTCGATGATACTGAGACTCTGCTGAATGGTTTAAAGCTTCTTTTTGAGTCAAGTGAGTGTGACGAGCAAGTTCGTCTTCTCACCCTCGCACCATCGAACTGGGGGAGAGTACAAATCGAAAAGTTTTTTGGTTGCAATCAGTGGCAAGCACGGCAGGGGATCGAATTACGGAACTCTTTCGGTGTCCTTGCTAAACGGTGTGATTTTGGTGGAAATTATCCGATGGATCCACAACTTATTGAAGATATCAAGGCTTTCTATCAAGACGATGCGATCAGTCGTCAGACGTCGAACAAAAAAGAAGTCATTCACATCAATAGACAACCAGTACCCATTCGACGCATGTTAATGACTGTTGGCCAAGCATACACTATCTTTATGGATCAGCTCAAGAAAAAGAACTCTTCAGATTCGGTGGGCAAGTCTACCTTCTACTCATTGAGACCAAAATGGGTTAAGATCGTGACACCTCACGACGTTTGTGTCTGTATCTATCATGAGAATTTTGATCTTCTAATTCAGGTACATATTCCAATCGACGCGGCAGCAATATCATCTATTTTTATTCACTAGGCGTGGAACAAGCTAGGTTTAATGTTAATTGAGCGCAAAGTACTCATCGCCAAGCTGATTTGCGCATCTCCAGCCGAAAAATGTTACTTTGGCGAATGCGAAAAGTGTAAGTTTGTGAACAAGAAAGGATCTCATTTTTATGTTTCTGTTGTGTTCATTGGAATGGGTCCATCAATATTGATAGATGTGTATAGAAGTGAAAGGACATCAACTGGTGTACCGAAAGAGACGTCGAAGAGGCTCTTTTACAGAGTTGTTGGATGTTTTTAGATAATGTTTCTAAACCTTGGAAAAGAACCTAGAAAGAGTAAATTTCGAACGCCCTTTGAAAACTCTTTTGATATGGTAGATAGATCACATAGATATTATATTGCCAGCAAAATAGATAAGCATGTAGACACACATCATGGAGCTTGACCATCTACTGTTCGAAGAGGATTTCTTCACTGTTGAGACGGTCGATAAAGTTTTAGGCGTTCGGATGCGATTCCTTGATTTTCTGCTTGAAGCGATTGTTCCAGCCTGATCGAGTGAGCTAATGTTTGTCAAATTTTATACTATTGATACGCAAACATCATCGTAATAAGAGAAGAATCAGCTTCGGCGGGGCATAGCTCCGAAACTCTTCAATGATTTCTTGATTGTTGCAGGCAAATATAAACTGCCCAGTCAGTTTCTCGAAGGTTTCTTCAATGATACAGTTAGTCGATTCGACAACGCCTGTTGGATGATGTGGAGAAAACCAGTTGCGGTGCGCAGTGATGAGAATGCAAACGATCGCACAAAGCCTGTAGACACAACAATCTTGTTGCAAAGGATCGATGCATCGATTGGTGATCTTCTTGAAGAAGTCGATTTGCAATGGCCCACGTTTCTCAAACACCACTTTGTTACCGGTCAGCAGTATGATTACATTAAAAAAATCAAGGAGGAGGCCTCTGAACAGGATACAATTGTCATCCAGATGGATTTCGCTGAAAATCACACTTTACTGAATCAACATCAGATCGTACAAGCACACTGGGGAACGCCACAAGCCACGATCTTCACTGTACACATACAAGTGAACAAAACCACACATCAAAGTGTGGCCATCATCAGTGACTATTTAGCACACGACGTTGATTTCGTTCATGCTGCTCAGGGTATAGTTGCTGACTACGTCCAAAGTCTGTACCCGTCTGTTAAACGGTTAAATTATCTCAGCGATGGAGCTGCTCAGCATTTTAAAAATAATAAAAGCATCCTTAACCTCACCTACCATGAGAAAGACTTCGGAATTCCCGCCGTGTGGACATTCAGTGCTACCGCTCATGGTAAAGGTCCCGTCGACGGTATTGGAGCGGCTGTTAAGTATCGAGCAACGAAAAAAGTCCTCAGTGGAAAGGCAGAAGATGCCATTCTAACTCCTGCCGATCTCTTCAAGTTCGCACAACACGATACTAAAATTAACGTTTTCTACTTGAGTGCAAACAGGGTGATGCAAAACCGCGATCAATACCAACTAGAAAGCCGATGGAAACAGCAAGGATCCGAAGGTACTTTGTACTTCAATCATATGTGTCTCAACTTAGACCTTTTCTTGTTAGGCTGGATCAACCAGATTCGCAGTCAACATCAATTCGATCCGGTAGGAATCAAAAAGGTCGAATGTCGACGTACATCAGCGTCACTTGTCAAAGAGGAAAATATACTGAAAAGCTAGGAATTCTAGCATCGCTCGAATAAATCTTTACTTTTTGATTTCCAATATCACACCATTCACGTATATCAAATTTCAGTTTCTGAAATAATTCAAATCGGCATTTTCAGGATATTCATCCCAAGTTTCATCATATGCTGTATACATAAAACCAGTCAATACACGACTGAAGTATCTTTCATTCGGAAAAGTCGAAATTGACAAATTGTTGTAACTATCTATCTTCTCCAGCATCATATGAAGAAAAGTGCTAATATTGATCTCAAGGGTCGATGGTATCTCGAAATAAGAACCTACGAGCACTGAAGTGGCTCT